TTTTTTTTTTTTTTTTTTTTTTTTGACGACTCCAATCTATTTATTGGCAGGGAGGGTCAACTGCTTGAAGCTCCTCCTTTTACGGATGGTGTTGTGGCAAGCTGCCGGTATCTGGCACCGTGGATGATGATACTGATTAGGTAGGAGACATACACAAGCAAATCAACACAACATCCTTAGACACGGTTTCAAAAAGCTCATGTATCCCCATGTACAAGGTACATAAGTACACATGCACAACAGATAACAGATTGCATGCCTGTTGGGACTGGCTCCCCGACCGGTTTCGACCGCAGCCACGCGGTCATCATCAGGGGGTTCTTCCACCATACCACGCCCTTCTCCTTCTCCATCCTTCCACTAACCCTCCTCCGCCGTTGACCAACTGACGGTCTCCGGAAAACGTCAGTGATCGCTTGCGTCGGTCCCGGAAAAGACCAAAAAACACGCAATCAATCCTGATATAGTCGCAAATTAGCCTAAGTCCCAGTAGTTCCCAACTATAAACAATACCGCGGACAGCCAGTGGCCGGACCCAGAAGTCCAAGGTACCGAACCCTCGGCCCGTAACTCGGTACCACAGTCCATATCAAACCCGAATAACCGAGAACTTCCAGAACGTACTACCTACCACACTAAACAACAAGGAAACAAAAAACAAAAAAACGAAAAACAAAAAACAAAACAAAAAACAAAAAAACAAAAACAAAAAACCCCTGAAAACAAATCATCAAGGAAAGGATACTAAACAAAGGCATCCTTCGTACAACTACACGCTAAACGGCACTCGAGGTACCGGGTTCAAATGCTACCTCCAAACTGCAATCTCAGACAACACAAAATAGAGGTACGAAGTTCGATTCTGGTTAGACCCTTGTCCTCACCACAGGAAATCTACCTACAACTGCAATCTCAAAACTGCGATCTCCAAACACTACAAAGTGGGGTACAAAGTTCGATTTCGCAAAAACCCCAGTCCATGCAACACTGCAGATCACAATCTAACTGGTTCAAACACTGCCCACAACTGCAAATCTCAACAAATACGAAATAAAGGTACAGACTTCGAAACCTGAAAATCCTACTATCGTACAAGTGCAATGCGACCCTGTCATTATAACCACCAGATCATTAACTGTACCCAGAATTTTCAAAACCAACAGGTATCCAAAGCACAACTGACGGCTTGAAATCAAAACAATCACTGTCTACATGGGAAACTCGGAGAAATGATTGTGACATTAACAGCCAAAATATGGTTCAAGCACCTACTTCGGATAACCAATTGACTGTCCAACTCCAAATCCGATCCCGCCCTTTCGCAAAATGTTTCACCACCCGTTCCACAAAGTTAGCTGGGAAATCCTTCATCCTTAGTTCCCGGACTAAGCTCAGGACTTGTCCCGGAATACGTGTACGTTCGTTCGTATTCCGGTCGATCCTGTGCAGGTGGCAAGCAATCACAACACTTTTTTGCTGTTTACTTCCCCAGGATCGATAGGACTGGCCATTCTTAAATTCCAAGGCGTCAGCATGCCAGCTCGTCCTCTCATTCTTGGCCACCTAGAAGCACGATACAATGGGCTCGGCTGAATCTGGCTAACACCCATCCTAGTGCCCAAAAAGTCCCAAATACCAGATCCATCGTCTGTCCGCTTCAATTGGAGGTTGCTTATATAGCAGTCTTCAAACAGCAACCGGATCCTCTCGGTTGTCATCTCGCTATTTCTTCTTTCAACCACAATCAGACTCACATCGTCCATCAAGCGGGTGCCGAACACGTCACTCGCCGACCTCCCCAGATTCCGCCTAAACTTGAATTCGGCATACGCACACAGAATGCAGGCTAGTGGGGGACTGGTACTCTTCCCCATTGGGATCCCCACAATCTGCCGCAGCAGCACCCCTGTGGCGCGAGTATAAGTGTGCCTCAGTTCAATTCTGACGAAGGTCTTGATCTGTTGCAAGTCCACAGTCTTCCAATGATCAACGCCTGTGGTGCGTCCAAAAGAACACCCCTTTCCTCGTCTGTTGACTCACAGCATGCAGCGGCCCTTGCTCACATGGTGCTCCACTAACCAATCAACTGCTTCCACAATCTCCTGATGTGGCAGCTTACTAAACATATCCTTGATGTCATACGACATCGCGGACACCGTCGAGTTCATCCCCATCCTTCTCCCTATCTTCTTGTTAATCACTTCCAGGGTCGGAACCAGATGAGAAACGGATTTCAGACTAAAGTGCCAGTCGCGTGGAAGAGTGAACAGCAAATGGTTAAGTGCTTTGGCAACGGTCCTTATGCTTGGGCATAACATAGGCCTCCCCAATTTTTCCCGACTTGTCCCAGTGTTCCAGTTTCATCAGACCAGCTTCTGACAACTCCGCCTTCATCAACTCCATTACCATATCTTCGTGCATCGCTGTCACGACATACCCCGCACTTGCCACAAAAAGTTCCACCATCGCTTCATAATACACCTTAGGACAGAGCACAAGAGTATCCCCCGGGTTTCTGTCCAAGGGTGTCAAGACCAGTCCCTCAAATCTCTTCTTCAGTTGCTGCACCACCCTCGGATCAAGAAACTTGGTCGTGACATCAGGCATCCCAGTTAGACAACCCTCCAGATCGTTGTTACTAATAGCGGGCCTCGATCCTCTCCAATTGCACCAGCTTTCAAGTCCTGCCACAATCTCCTGCTTCAACAGTCGTCCACGGTCCGAATAGGAAAGTTTAGGAATGTTATTAGCATTACAAGCCAAGGGATGGATGTCCTCCAACTCCGATAGACGAAACCGCACGTGTCCACCTATCCGGGGATAGGGAAGCCCTGCACAAGAGCAGGTTGAAACATCAGCATGGGCAAATAACCGCTGATTATGTAAAAGGTTCGCCACCGACGGGTTCTTCTCCCATACGATGCGCACACCCTTTCGCGCGTGGTTCCTCAAACAGACTGGAATATCCATCTCCTCGATCTTGCTGTTCAAAAGTTTCCTAACTTCAACAATCCGGATTCTGTCGTCGAACTTCAATTTCACCGTAATTTTTGAATTCAAACTCCATCCATACACTTCCTTGATCGCTCTACCAATAAGTCTCCTAAGGTAGGCTGTAGTGGATGCTCTCTCGAAATCCTGAGCTGCACCCGCCAATCTCAACAATGCATCCAGGCTACACTTACGCAACGCTTCCCCACGGTCCTTTTTGCGTAAGATCGAGACAAGGAAGGCTTTGTCCTTAGTAATCTTCGGCTTCCACCTTCTCAACTGAAGAAACTCTATTGCAGCCCCGTTCTCGGTTTCCTGCTTACACTGGTACAACTTGCTACGCTGCCCATTCACCTTAACCTCGGATTTCCCATAGCTCGATCTTATCGATTTCCACCCGCCGCACCAACAACTTCCTTCTTTTACATGTAGAGTGAACCGCGTACAACCCACCTCCTCCTGCGCTGACAGGATTTGGAAGCAATTAGCATTCCAATCCTCAGTATCACACATCCTGAACTTGATAGGAGTAACACTATCCAATCGTGGTTCAACATACCCCCGTTGTTGTCTCATGTCGACCTCTTCTCCTTCGTCCTCCTCTTACCCTCACCTTCGCCTTCCCCGTAGCATTCAGGGCTGGACACCATCGCGTGGTTCGTCTGCGTACACCGGTAGACAGGAATCAACACGTAGGTCTCATAGCCGAAGGTCCGCAACCATCGATACAAATGATTTTGCTTCGACCCTCGGTTAGCTAATGAAATATGCTCCCTCCAACGTGTCCTGCCGTCTCTGCCTGTCTGCCCCACGTATTGAGCGCGGCATAGCGGTGAGGTAATCACATACACTCCTCCGCTCACCTTCGTGAAGCACTCAATGCCATACTGCTTGTATACCTCTACCCAAGAAATCATGCACCTACGCATCCAACGGATCTGGTTACTTATGGCTAGTGCTATTACCACCAACCTATACGCCACTTCAACAGCCTCATCAAATATATTCTCACGGCGAAATTCAATTAACACATCACAAAGCACCCAAAGTTTACACGCTGTTCAGGTATCACTCCCATCCTCCTCTTCCTCCACCTCCTCCGTCTCGGCTTGATTTTCACCAATCTCCTCCTCAGGACCCTTCACCTCCTCATTCCCGATTGTGATCTGTGTCCGCTTCTCAACGATCGCTAATATAGCTTGCATTTTCTTCCCTTCGTAAGCCACGTCTTCAGACAAACATATCCTCTTTAGCTCCTCGACAGTCATATCTCCCAATTCTCTCAAATTATCGGTTACAAACCTGACCTTACCGATAGTCCCCGGGGCAGCCGGGATCTTCCTCCTTCCCGTCCCCAGAGTCTTACCTGGTGAGACCCGCATCACCGGAGTCTTACGTGGTGAAGTCCGCTTCATCGGTCGATGACGGCATCCCAGCTGCAGCCGTCGTTTCGCCGTTCGCTTTGCGGGCGTCACCATAGGTGGGCTGTCCCCAACCGCCTTCTCGGGACCTCTTTTCCGCTTCTCAGTGATAACTACTTGCTCAGTCTGGCGGCTCAACGTGTCCACATCGCTTTCGTAGGGGTCAGCTTCCTCCTCATCCGACGATGCCTCCGCGATCTTCTGCTTCCCTTTAACTCGTTCCCTCATATCTCGTTTGTACCGGCGCTGCAGAGATTCATCGAGCTGCCCCATACGGAGGGAGAGCTCCATTAGCAGCTCCTTTCTCATCAGTTGACGGTCCTCCTCCTCCTTCCTCAACTTCTCCTCCTTTCTTGTTGCACACCTCTGTTCAGCTAGACGTGCCTCCTCGGGTGCTCTAGCTTCCTCCTCCTCCCTCTTTTTTCTCTCGGCCTTCTCCTGCTTCTTCTTTCTCTTTTCCTCCTTCGCCGCAATTTCTACGTCAAACACTTCCTTCATTGTCGCCACGGACATGGCCAGATCTTCAATCTGCCGTTTAATCGCGGGGTCTTCAGAGGCCGCTCGTGGCTCAGGTAGACGTGCATTATGCCTTGGGGATACCGACCTTCCCTGTTGGCCTGCATACCTTGGGGCGCCCTCTCTCCCAAGCTTCGGGCACTGGTTCCTATAGTGGCCAGGCTCACCGCATTCATAACAGACATGTGTGAATCGTTGCGGCGGATCCCTCTGGCCCATATGACTAGAGCTCCAACGCTCCATCGGACGCTCCCTCCGTCCGTCTCCCTGTCAATCCCGTCCTCCTTCATAACCGCCAAAATCTCTCCCTCGATCACAACTCCGATCCCGACGGTCCTCCCGCCCATAATCCCTGAAATTGGACCCCATGCCGAGACTAACAACGAATGCCACGTAGAACCGTGGTCAAGGAAACACTTCCTTCGGATCAACTCTGAGCTTATCACCCACGCAATAGCCAGGTTCGTAATACCAGACCAACTCCCCTCATCAAAAGGTACCAACTCCGGCAACTCCAAGAGTTAACACTCAAGACTGAAAATAGCAACTCGTGAACTGGAACGTAAACAACGTGCTCACACTCACTCCGCGTCTTCCAAGCGGGTTCACACGGGCCTTCAGTAGATACTGATTAGGTAGGCGACATACACAAGCAAATCAACACAGCATCCTTAGACACGGTTTCAAAAAGCTCATGTATCCCCATGCACAAGGTACATAAGTACACATGCACAACAGATAACAGATTGCATGCCGGTTGGGACTGGCTCCCCGACCGGTTTCGACCGCAGCCACGCGGTCATCATCAGGGGGTTCTTCCACCATACCACGCCCTTCTCCTACTCCATCCTTCCACTAACCCTCCTCCGCCGTTGACCAACTGACGGTCTCCGGAAAACGTCACTGACCGTGGATGATGCCGTATGCAAGAGATGGATACAGGCGAAGATGGTGACCAGATACAGGCAGATTCCTGCCGCTTCCAGCCGTTGGCTGATAGAGTTACACGTCATCCGGAAATCCGAGTTAGCCTGAACTCTCATATGTCTGTAATCCAGCCTCTACAACAACGTGGGCTTTCCACTTAAAAAAAAAAAAAAAAAAAAAAAAAAAAAACACAAGGAGGCACTACCTATGTGCAGGAATCGTCATCCTGGAGGGAGATCCCACTACCATGTAGTCGGATTAGTGTGACGTGTGTGGGACGGGTGGGGGACGGGTGAGTGGCAGAGTAAAATAGGTAAAATGAAAACCAAAAACCATATCTTGACAAAAGAAATGAAGAGAGAACTGCGAAAAAAGCGAAGGAAGTGCACTTTCCACGGATCCTGTCTCGTCCAGGCAGCGTGTCAGATGTCAGGGTATGATTCATTGACCATGGATGTGGCAGTCAAGATGACTGCATGTGAGCGTCCAAGACGACCATATTCATTTACAGTATGCATGTGAGCGTTCAAGAGGACCATATTCGTTTACAGTAGTAGTCTGAGCCTTCCTTGAAATTGGCCACAGAGCAGGCTCTGACAGATGTCAGACTAACTCCATGCCATATTTGATGTACGTGAGGGGATCGAATCCTCCCAAAACACCTCCCACATTGTCGATTTTGGCCTCTCTTCCATGCATGGGCCACAAACCAAAGGTGTGTGGGAGGTGTGTGAAAATCATAACGAAAAAAATCGTTATGATTTTCACTCACGTTGGGGACCTCTGCACGGCCTACTCAACAAAATAAGAAGAAAGACCAGCCAATGGGGGGCCGCAAAAATACATATATGACCCCCCGCTGAAAATTATGGAACACCACACGGCCGTTCCGATCAGCGGTTCTTTGGAGTCACACACCCTCTCCACTAATCCACATAAGTCGGTAGTGGGATCTCCCTCCTGGTGACTTTTTTTTTTTTTTTTTTTTTCGTTTGATGACTCAAAA